GTTAGATTTATTATCGATCCAGTTGAATCTAAACGATTTTTGAATCGGGGAAAAAATTGAATCAAAAATCAAAAACAAAACAACAAAAAATGTCAAATTAAACATACCCGAAACGGCCATATTATCCACCATAACATTATTGATCATTGATGATGGTGATTTTTTCCATAATCGAATCGTTGATTGTTGTTGTTGTTGTTGTTGATCATTATCATCCATAAAATGATGATGATTATAATCAGATAATTTTTGAAATGGATACATTATTCATTCATTCATTCGTTCAATGTTTGTTTTGTTTTTTTCAAATCAAGTCATAATGTAATTTTTTTGATTTTTTTAAATTTTCAAAACAGCAAAACAAAACAAACAACAAATTTTTGACACATTTGACAAGTTTGACACAGATGTTTTGCGAAAAAATGTTTTAAATGTTTTGCTTTGATCTTGATCTTGATTTAGTTCAGTTTTTTCGTTGGTTGCAGAGAAAAAAAGGCTATCGAAACATCATTGAAACAGAAAAGAAAAATGGTGGAAAATTTTCATTTTTTTTTATTTGTTTGTTTGTTTTGCTCGTTACGTGAATGACGTATTTTATATTGCCAATTTGGTTTTGGTTTTTTCGTTTGCTTCTTTGGAACAACTTTGGTTTTCTTTTCGCTGTTTTTCAATGACAACAAGAATTTTGAGCTGCATTTTGGAACCACTTTCCCTTTCCCTGCACACATATATGGCCTTGTGGATGCGCATTTCGAATTTCTTTGCATATTTTTCTTTATGCGCAAATCGAATTGGAATTTTGGCATTTTAAATGATAGAATGTTTTATGGCTTCAGCTCGGTTGCTATATCGTGAAAAAAAAATGATTTGAAAAAAAAGTGATAAAACTTTTTTATTTTATTTTTACTTCCAACGAATCATAATCAACAAGATGAAATGAAAATGATGAAATATAATCCTTGTTTGTTCCAAAAATAAAAAATATAGAATATTCTTGCTCGCTGGCTATATATACCGTATAACGTTCTTATCTTCGATTCCAATCAGCAGAATTTGTTCGTTTGTTGAAAGAATTGTCGTCATAAAATGATAACGCAGAATCAAATTGCCAAAAAAATATGTTTTCTGTCATTGTTGTTGTTGTTGTTTTTGCTGTTGTTGATAAATGAACGTAGGCGTTAAAATATCTGTTTTTGTGTCTGCGAAAAAAATCAAAATTTTCCTTCACAAAAAAAATTGAATCAAGAATTGCGAAAATTGAATCAAGAATGTTTTGTTTCGGTAATAAAATCTTCATAAGTTTTAGCCAGAAAAAAAATACATCTGGATTGCAAAACATGTTGATGATCGCAAAGTGTTAATGATGAGGGAAAAATCTTCTGGTTTTTTTCACTTTGTTTCAGATTTTTTTTTCAGTTTTGCTTTGGTTCAGCAAGCATCATCGAGAATCATCTGGAATTTCTTCTTCTTCAAAGTGGAACAGAAAAGTTTTCTCTTCAGATGAAGATCATCTATCAAACGAAAAAATTTACGGGAAAAACTCGAGAGAGAAAATTTCCCCAAATAAAAAAAACTTTCCCGAAAAAATAAGGAAATTGATTTTCGAACGAACGAAAAAATTTCCAATAAACTTTCCAATAAACTTTCTCTTCTTTTTCATATATTCAAATCATCATCATCATCAAAAAATTATTGACCTTTTTTTTCTTTTCACTCTTTGTTTTGAAATTATCCTTGATATAATTATTCAAAAAAAGATTGTAAAATAATTAAATCATTTTAAAAAAATCAAAAATCAAATCAAATCATAATTAGGCCAATATAATTTTTTCATCAAGTTTTTGTTTTGATCTTTACTAAAACAACAACAACAACAACAATAACGTGGTTGTTGGCCTATTCAAACCGGTTTTTCAACAGACAGACAGACAGTCGAAAGTGAGGGAGAGAGAAAACTTGTTTAAATCATCGGGGAAGAGAGAGAAAATTGTTTAAGAAGGAAATCATCATCATCAAATGATGATTTAATAACCAATGTATAATGTGTGTATCATTGGCCATCCATAAATAACGATCATCAACGAAAACAAACAAAGAGAGAAGGATTTTTTTTTTTGTTGTTGTTGTTTGAATTTGGATCGAGGATTGAAACAAGGATGTTAAAAACCAAATTTTTTCATATATTAAACGAGTTGATTGAAAGAGAGAGAGAAAATTTTCACATCAAAATGAAAAAAAAAATATTTATTTTTGGCGAGATGATTCGAAAGAAGAAAGAAGAGAAAAGTGAAATTGAAAGTTATCATCATTTTCACCATAAATCGTTCCACATCCACATCATCATTTTTGAATTTCGAACGTTTTCATCTTTCGAACGTCTGTTTTTCACTTTCGAACGTTTTCAACAACAAAAGCAACATCCGTAAATTCAGTTAAACCCGAATTTTCTCCCAAAAAATTTTCCCGAAATCATGGGATTCATCAAAACGGAAATACGTTCCGAATCGGATTTAAAATCCAAACCTATTGTTGAAAATGCTGATGGTGATTATGATGATTCAACAACCACAACGACAACAACAACAACAATCATAAATGATAATGATGATGAAAAATTTGATTGGCATAATCAAGAATTGAAATGGAAAAATATCTTGTTGTTGGGTATATGGCATTTAGCAACAATAGGTTTTTATTGTTATGCATGTGTAAATGATTTTAAAATTCAAACAATTTATTTTGCCGTTGCTATTGGTATGATGTCCGGTATTGGTACATCAGCTGGTTCACATCGTTTATGGTCACATCGTTCATATCGTGCACGATGGCCATTAAAACTTTGGTTACTAATGTTTCAAGCAATCACTATGAATGGTTCAGCATTATCATATGCACGTGATCATCGTACACATCATAAATATTCGGATACAGCTGGTGATCCAAAAAATCCAACACGTGGTTTATTTTATTCACATATTGGTTGGTGGTTATTGAAAAAAACTGATGCTGTTATCGAAGGTGGTCGACAATTAGATTTTTCTGATCTTTATCGTGAACGATTGGTTTATCTTCAACATAAATATTATCTACCAATATTCATTATATTTGGTGTTTTAATACCATGGTCAATACCGGTGATTGGTTGGAATGAAGATCCATGGATGTCTTTCGGTTTGGTTGTTGTTTTACGTATAACAATCGTACTACATCATTTATTTACCGTTAATTCATTGGCACATTATTTTGGCTATCGACCATATGATTTTCGTATCCGACCGGCTGATCATCGATTTGTTAATTATATTTCATTTGGTGAAGGTATTCACAATTATCATCATGTATTTCCATATGATTATCGTATAAATGAACGTTCACAATGGGAACTGTTTAATCCACCCGGTATGTTTATCCAATTGAATCGTTTAATTGGTTTAGCATATGATTTAAAAGTAGCATCACCATCAGTAATTGCTGGTGTTGTTCGACGTCGTGGTGTTCAACCAATTCGTGATCAAAAACGAAGTCTTACATTTCGTATTTGTAATGCATTATTTGATTGGACTGTTGGAATACTTGTTGGTGCATGGGCTGCATATCCATTGATTGCATTTAAATTGCTTACAGGTCGTACAATTGGTTAACAAAAATAACCAAGTCCGGAAAAAAATCCGGAAAACCAAAAACCTTTAAAAAAAATCAATATTTTCCCCCAGATCTAACCCAGTCAAACCAGAAAAATTTCGATAATTCTTACTTGTCAAATTGCAATAATAATACCCAATTTTATCTATGTGATGTCTGTGTTAAAAAAAATTAAATTCAAAAAAATAAAATTTTTTCAATTTCCGATTTTAAAATTCTGCTCTCACAAATTCAATGGGTCATGTCATTTATGAACGGAATGATCGAATCATTTTTTTTCAATGATCACATGTCACACATGATTTTTTTTTGGCGAATTTCTTTATGCAGATTTTTTGTGAAATTTTTTTTAAATTTTCTAAACCCGGATAAGAAAATCGCGATTTGAAAATTACATTCAGATCGATCAGATCAATTAATTATTTTTGTTTTCAAATATGGGATCATTATTGATACGTCGTCTGTTGTGGTTAAAATCATGTCATCATCATCATCATTCATTGTTATTTAGTTCGTTTGTACCTCGACAACAACAATCATCGTCAACAGCAATCATTCGACAGTTATATAATAATGAAAAATCTAATTATCGATCATTATCATCATCGTCGATATTGATCGTCAGAAATCCATTAATCAATAAAAATCCAATCAATTATGATCGATTATTACCATTACAATTACAATCAACAAGTTTCAATCAATATCGATTTTTATCATCATCATCGAATAATAATGATGATGGTGAAGATTCTGATCAAACAATATCACCTGTATATCCAACACCACCAACACCTGGTGATCCATCACAATCATCTGCATTATCACCGGTAAATGTACCGGATTATTTTCCATTCGTACCGGTTATACCGATTAATCGTAATCCAGTTTTTCCAAAATTTGTTAAACTTATTGAATTGACTGATCCGAATCTAATTCAATTGATTAAACGTAAAGTTGATCTACGACAACCATATGCCGGTATATTTATGAAACGTAATGATAATGATATGGCTGAAGTTGTTCGTTCATTAGATGATATTTATCCAGTCGGTACATTTGTTCAAATTCATGAACTACAAGATCTTGGTGATCGGATTCGAATTATTGTTATGGCACATCGTCGTATAAGGATTTTGAAACAAATTGATGAAAATGCTGAACAACAGGAGGAATCTGCTGCTGAACAACCATCAAGAAAAAATGGTTCGACAATGATGCGAAAAAAACGTTCACGTCGAAGTTCAGCAACAACAGCAACAGCTCAAACATCGAATGACGAACAAACGACAACAGATCAAGATATTGCTCAACAACAATCATCGGATTCGGAATCGATGGTGGTTGAAAAACCTAAACCAGTACTAATGGTAGAAGTAGAAAATGTTCAACATGAAGAATTTATTGAAAATCAAGAAATTAAAGCGCTGACGCAGGAAATTGTCAAAACAATTCGTGATATTGTTTCATTAAATTCTTTATATCGTGAACCAATTTTACAATTGATGCATTCTGGACAGAAAATTGTTGATAATCCAATATTTCTTTCGGATTTAGGTGGTACATTATCCGGTGCTGATTCGAATGAGCTACAACAAATTTTGGAAGAAACAAACATACCAAAACGTCTTTATTTATCATTATCATTATTGAAAAAAGAATATGAAGTTAGTAAATTACAACAAAAAATAAGTAAAGAAGTTGAAGAAAAAGTTAAACAACAACATAGAAAATATATGTTAAATGAACAATTGAAAATTATTAAAAAAGAATTAGGTCTGGAAAAAGATGATAAAGATGCTATTGTTGAGAAATTTCGACAAAAAATCAAAGATTTAATTGTACCACAATCAGCAATGGATGTTATTGATGAAGAATTAAATAAATTATCATTATTAGATAATCATTCATCGGAATTTAGTGTAACCAGGAATTATCTTGATTGGTTAACATCAATACCATGGGGTATAAGTAGCGTAGAGAATTTAGATTTAAAACGTGCTGAAGAAGTTTTGAATGAAGATCATTATGGTATGGAAGAAGTAAAAAAACGTATTTTGGAATTTATTGCCGTTAGCCAATTGAAAGGACATACGCAAGGAAAAATTCTTTGTTTTTATGGTCCACCTGGAGTGGGTAAAACAAGCATTGCTCGATCGATTGCACGTGCATTGAATCGTGAATATTTCCGATTCAGTGTTGGTGGTATGACTGATGTTGCCGAAATTAAAGGTCATCGACGTACTTATGTTGGTGCTATGCCCGGGAAAATTATTCAATGTTTGAAAAAGACAAAAACTGAAAATCCATTGGTATTGATTGATGAAGTGGATAAAATTGGTCGTGGTTATCAAGGTGATCCTTCGGCTGCCTTATTGGAATTGCTGGATCCTGAACAGAATAAAAATTTCTTGGATCATTATCTGGATGTTAATATTGATTTATCGAAAATTTTGTTTATTTGTACGGCAAATGTATTGGATACAATACCCGAACCATTACGTGATCGTATGGAATTGATTGAAGTATCGGGTTATGTTGCTGAAGAAAAACTTCAAATATCAGAGGTGAGTATTTTTTTTGTTTTGGAAAGTTTGCTAATTTCATTTTTTTTCTGATTAGAAATACCTAATACCAATGGCACATAAAGAATCAGGATTATCACCGGAAAAAGTTGAAATAACAAAAAATGCAATCAATTTAGTAATACGTTCTTATTGTCGTGAATCAGGTGTTCGTAATCTACAGAAACATATTGAAAAGGTATGTGATTTTATAATGAAATTTTATCAATTTTGATTTTTTTTAATTGGATTTCCTACCTTGATCAAATAGATTATGCGAAAATCAGCATATAAAATTGTTAATGAAGAATGTAAAAATGTTATTGTTGATGAAACAAATTTACAGGATTTTGTTGGTAAACCATTGTTTGTTAAAGATCGTATGTATGATGAAACACCACCAGGTGTTGTTATGGGTTTAGCATGGACATCACATGGTGGTTCAACATTATATATTGAAACAACTGTACATCGTAAATTGGATTTATCCAAATCGATAGCTGTTGATGATAATGATCGATCTACAAGCGATAAACAACAACAACAAGGTTCATTTGTATTGACTGGACATTTGGGTGATGTAATGAAAGAAAGTGCAAATATTGCCTATACATTTGCCAAATCATTCATGTTGAAACGATCTTCATCAGAATTGGCTTCAGAATTTTTACAACGTGCTCATATTCATTTACATGTACCGGAAGGTGCAACACCAAAAGATGGTCCAAGTGCTGGTTGTACAATGGTTACAGCATTATTATCATTAGCAATGGAAAAACCAGTTCGTCCAAATTTGGCTATGACTGGTGAAATATCATTAACAGGTAAAATTCTGCCTGTTGGTGGTATTAAAGAAAAAGTTATTGCCGCTAAACGTGTTGGTGTCGATACAATTATTCTACCTGATGATAATCGAAAAGATTTTGCCGATCTACCTGATTATATTCAGGATGGATTAACTGTTCATTTTGCTAGCTATTATGAACAGGTTTTCGATATTGCCTTTAATTATTAAATATTTTTTTTGTAGATTTCTATTTTTTAATTTTTATTTTGATTGTTCTTGTCGTTTGTAAATAAAAAAAAAAATTTTGATTGAAATATTCGAAATGTAACGAACAACAAAATCGATAGTATCGATAGTAATGTGATACAATGTGTGAGCTGGCATTTCGGATTTTTCAATTTTTATTTTATTTTTTCTGAAAAATAATTTTTTAATTGAGGATTTTTAACCAAAAACAAAAATACAAAAATGTCAACCGGACCGGATAATCTTTTTGATTTGAAAAATTCATTCTATCTTGGTAATTGGCAACAATGTTTGAATGAAGCGGCAAATGTTAAGGTAAGAATTTTTTTCGTTTCGAGTTTTTTTTGATTGAAAATTTTTTATCGATGACAGACAACAACCGATGAACAAAAATTAGAACGAGATGTATTCATGTATCGGGCATATTTGGCACAGAAAAAATTCAATGTAGTTTTAAGTGAAATTAATCAATCATCACCACAACCATTGAAAGCGGTTCGATTATATGCCAGATATTTATCATCATCAACAACAACATCGTCGGTGGATGAAATTCTTGCCGAATTGGATTCAAATCAAACCATATACATGGATGATTGTTATTCATCGCTTTGTGCTGCAGCCATTTATTTTCATGAAAAAAATTATGAAAATGTTTTGAAAATTTTAAATAATTCCAGTGATATTGAATGGTAATTATATCAAATCTGAATCTGATGATTTTGAATTTAATTTTTTAATGATTTTTTTTTCTTGGTTGAAACAACAGTATGGCTGCAACCGTACAAGCATTACTTCATTTGGATCGTTTAGACTTGGCCCGTAAAGAACATAAACGAATGTGTCAAAAAGATGAATATCATACCCTATCACAATTGGCATTAGCATGGATAAATTTATATTATGGTGGTGAAAAATTACAAGATTCATATTTTATTTATCAAGAATTGAAAGAAAAATTCGGTCCAACACCATTATTGTTGAATGGTCAGGCAACTGCGTTGATTTGTCAAAATCGTTGGGAAGAAGCTGAACAATTAATTGTGGAAACAATTGAAAAAGATTCAAATTATACTGAAGCGATTATTAATCAAATGTTATTGGCAAATTTACAAGGAAAATCATTAGAATTAATAAATAGATTTATTAATCAATTAAGTGATCGTGTTAGTAACCTAGTTTGTAAAATATTACTAAAAGTTTACTTTGTTTTACTTAAAGATAAAATTTCTAAACAATATCAAATTGTTTAGCTAATTATCGAATTGATCAATAATCAATCGATCAAGTTTGTAATCGATAATCAAAAATAAAAATAAAAGTACAGTTGATTTTTTCATTGATGATTTGCGATAAATTTTTTCGGGAGAAACAATTTTGATTTCGGAAAAATTTCCAGAACTTTTTTCGTTTACCGGAACCAAATGATTATCATCGACGACGACAAGAAAACAACATTACAGCTACATTGACGCTGGTGGTGGTGATAAGATTTTTTTTTTGGTTCAAAGTTTCACTTGTTGAAAATGAAGAAACTAACCATGGGTGAAAATAGTGGAGAAAGAAAGAAACTCGAATAATCCGGTTTGTTTGTTGGTGGAATTTTAAAATTTTGTTTTTTCTCCGATTTTTGTTTTGTCAATTTCAAAAAAAATTTTCAAAAATTTTTTTAGAAAAAAACAAACTTTGGTCATCATTTTTTTCAAGCATGGCATTCAACGGAAAAAAAATGATGTCATCAAATCAAAATCAATCGATTGCGATCATTGATTTGGCTTCGAATGTTGTCTTTTTTTCCAAGTTTTGAAAAAAAACCACAACATTTTTTAAATTAATTTTTTTTTTGAAAATTGTGAAAATTTAATATATTTTTGAATCCAAAAACACCATTGGCGATCCAGATGATGATGAAATGACGATGATGATGTTTGACTTTAAAATCCTAATGACAACGGTAAATGACAATTTCTTTGCTTTCTTGTTTTTTGGTTTTTGTTTATTTATTTTCGTTGATTTCGCTATTTTTTGATTTCTTTTTCTTTTCTTTTTCTTCTTTCCTGCCTGAACAAAGTCTTTTGATATCATTGATTGATATCAATCGAATGAATGCAAAAAAAACAAGGTTCAAAGTTTGTTTTGTTTGATTTGATTTTTCGATAAAAATAAAAATATCGCTGCTAAAATTGAGTTTTTTTCTGGTTATCATTTTTTTCTCTCCATTATATTTAAACCGATCAATCAAACAACCAAACATCGAACCATTTGATTTGATTTGTTTTGCCAGAAAAAAATCAAAAATCAATTTTTTTGTCCTTTACATTGAATTTCTTTACTTTTTTTTAAAACGAATGTTGTTCATTAATTATCAATTGCACTACATTTTGATTGAAATTTTCTTTTTGTTTTTTCATTCATTTTTTCCTATTACATAAATGTTGTTCATTTGATCATCATGGCTAAAAGATTCAGCGACGAGTGTCAATGTTTAACAAACAACAATTCGATATTGCATTCTCTTGACAACGACAACGACAACAACAACAATAACGATCATCAAAAGCATCAGAAACAATCATCATCATCAGCTGGACTGATTGATAATGTTGATCAACAACAACAACAACAACAACAAATCAATAGTGTTAATAATATCGATTTATTGATGATCATCAATAATCAACAATTGAAACGAAAAATAACAATAAATAATAATTTCCATCAATCGGTTATTTGATGAAAACCTTTTCGTTTGTTTTGTTTTGTTCTGTTTTGAATCATTGAATTTTTGTTGATCGATTTTTGTTTCGTTTGATCGATTTTTTTGTAAAAAATGTCTCCAACCACCGGACAATCATCATCTTCATCGTCATCTTCGCCATCATCCGTAAATCAGCCATCAACATCATCATCATCATCAATTTCGAATCATTCTGATGACCATCATTATCAACAACAACAACAATTATATCAACAACAACAACAAGATCCATATCAATTTTATCCATATAGTTTTTATCATAATAATAATAATCCAAATAATGATAATCAACAACAACAACAACAACAAGATGAATATGAAAAAATTGATCTATTAGGACAACCGACAACATTATATCAAAATCGTTCTGTATCGATAATAAATTGTGAATATAAATTAAAAGAAAAATATCCACATATGATTACATTGATATTTTTTTTCATCATTTATATAACCATTATATTGTTGGGTGCATCATTGTTTATGGCATTCGAAGCAAAAGCTGAACAACGTTTACGTGATCAAATTATGAATAAACAACAATTGTTTCTACAACAGAATCAATGTGTTGATTGTAAGTTTTTGATCTTTGATCTTTGATTTTTAACTTTTGATTTTTGATTTTTTTGAAAATTTTAGCCAAAGAATTGAAACAATTCATCAAAAGCGTAATCATTACCTATGATAAAGGTGTTAATTTAGCGCTGCTTAATGATCTAGTCGATACAATGTTAATGACGAATAATGATGGCCAAAGTGTTAATGATTTAATGAAAAAAAATGTTTCAAAAATGATTGTTGAAAATATTATCCAGGATAATAATCCGGAAAATGTTATTGAAGAAATTATTGTTACCGAGCAACGTAAACAACCTGTAATCAAACAACAACAACAGCAATTAAAATCTGAAACAGAAGAAGAAGGTCAAAGGGTTAAAACATCAACATTAATCGTACCTGTACAAATGTCAAATTGGGAATTTGGTTCAAGCATGACTTATGTTGCAAGTGTTGTCACTACAATTGGTTATGGTCATGTTACACCGATTACGAATGAAGGAAAAATTTTGACCATTGTTTTTGGTGCAATATCCATACCATGTACGCTGCTATTTCTTTCAATAATCATATCAATGATACGTGATGGACCAATCAAACAGATTGAAGTATGGCTAATAAAACTTTTCGGTTATTTTACCGATGAAATAACATTATTGAAAATACGTTTTCTTCACCTATTTATCGTTACAATCGTACTATTTTCTGCTTTGATAATCTTACCGGCTTTTTTATTCAAACAAATGGAATCACAATGGACATTTTTGGATTCATTTTATTATTGTTTCATTACGATTACAACTGTTGGCCTTGGTGATTATGTACCAGGGCAAAATTCAATGCAAGAAAATCGTACCTGGTATCTGATTAGCATTGTTATTTATATGTATTTTGGTCTCTGTCTAATGATGTTATGGATCGCATTGGTATTACGGATACCATATTTTAATTTTAAAACTTTTTTGGTTATTGAAGAACCAGAATTATTAGAACGTAAATTAATTAATGAACAATTACGTAATCAACAACGTTGTCAATCGATGGATGATGATGTTACCGATGACGATGATGATGATGATGATAATGAAAAAACACCATTAGTAACATCAACATCATCACCACCATCATATTCATTAATGATGAACATGGCTGCATCAACATCACGATCATCATCTGCATCATCGTCATCGTTGTTGATGAATAATCCGATTGCGTCCACATCTGCATCACCGCCATCTACATCATCATCATCATCAGGTTTATCTCACCTGCATCCATCATCATCATCATCAACATTCAATCATAATCATCATCATCATCAACAACAGAATCGAACGTTGATGTTGACAACAACGATCAATCAAGAAAATCATAGACATATCAATAATAATAATAATAATTTTGTTTGATTTTTTCTTCGAATATTCTTTCTTCTTTTTATAACTATAATTAGAAATTATCATCAAAAATTATTATTAACGAAATGATTTTTCTTTTTTAAATATATTTTTCTTTGTGATTTTTTTTTCAAAAATGATGATCAAGAATGATAACAACAACAACAGAATTTTTGTAATTGAATTTATAATGATATTTTTTTTTTGTGTGGATAATTTACCTACGACGATAATATATTATTATTATTATGTTTGTTTTGATTTAAAATTTTTTTTGAATTTTCAATGATGATGATGATTCGATGATAATTTGATGATTTGATGATGGTAGAAGTTGTTTGAAACAAAAAAGATGTTAAACTTCATTCGGTATGATTGGTTCTTCATTACTATTCATCATTATCATTGAATTTGCCGGTGAATGATGATTATGATTATGATTATGATGATTATTATTATTAAATAATTTTGGTTTAAGTTTACAAGCACAATGATGTGGTGCATTAACAAAACCCCATTGTGCTTGTCGTTCATTACCATTGTCGCTGTTACTACCATTATCGCCACCATTATTATCATCATTATTAATCGGTTTATAATACATATACATCCAACCATAACGTTCAGTACATTCGGATTCAAATAATGGTGATATACCTAAACATTTACCATGATTTTTTGCACAACGATATGTAAAAACAAATTGTTGCATATCTTTTTCCTGTATTACTTTCACTTTATTATCGAATAGATCATGTGTATCGATTATCTAAAAATATATTTTTTTTTCGGAAAAAAAAAGAATGTTATTCGAATTCGAATTATTCGAATGTTTTTTGTCTTGTTCATAAATAACATGACATACCTGTTCCCATTTTTCTTTTGTTTCACAAATCTCTTCCGATGGTAATTGTTCACGTTTTTCTGAATTTTTCTTTCTTTTTATTTTCATTATCATTTTTGGTTGTGTTGTTGTTGTTGATGATGATCGAAATGTATGATGATTATGTTTATGATTAAGGCTATTCGAATGATTATGACGATCATTATTATCATTATCATCAGCAAAAATCGTTGTTGTTTCATTATCAAATGGCATAATTGATTCATATTCCAAAATATGATGATCAGGATTATAATTGGATGGTGGTGGTGTTGAACCAACCCATAAATATTGCTGATGTAATGCCGGATGATTTTCAATATGATCACTGTTATATAATTTAAACAGAAAAAAAGGTAAGAATTTTAGAAATTTGGAAAAGTTTTTTTTTGTACAACTAACTTTATCATTGCTAAACGTTCTTTTAGCTCATCCATCGGTATTAATTGATTTTCCAGAATTTCATGAACATATGATTTAATAATCAATTTGATCACTTGATTATTGGCCAATGTTGTTTGTTGTTTACCATTGTTGTAATCGGTTTCGGTAGTCATCATCGATGATTCTAAAATCAGAAAAAAAAATGAATTTCGATTTGGATTAAAGACAAAGAAACAAAGAAACGAAAACTAACTTGTCATGGATAAAAGAATAAAGATTAATGTAGGCAATTTGATTGCCAAACAAAATAGAAAAATCTTAATCAATAACATTGTTATTTCAAAAAAAATTCAAAAAAAAAAACAGAAAAAATTCAAAAGATTTTCAAAAATATCGATTGAGCTTTGGCACGATATGTGTTGAATTCAATGGAATTAATAATAATGATCCATTATCGAAGAAAAATGAAAATGTTTGCCAACAACAACAACAACAGAAAACATCGATTTTTATATACCTGGCCAAAATTATTCATCACGAATGACCAATTTGAACAAAAAAACTTTCTAAAGGAAATGGTTATCGGAAATTTGACGTAAGAACAACAAATATTACCGACCTACCTACGTAAATTGTATAAAATAGATTATCCAAATGGCTGATGATGTCCTTGTGAAATAATTCAGAAATTCTTTTTTCTTGATCGATTCCAAGAAAAAAAGAAAAAAATTCAATTTATGGACATTGATAAATTGTTTCAATCAACAATTTGAATCAACCGACTAACCGATCGTCAACAACCATCACCGAACAAAAAAAATGACACAAGGTAGATAGACATTCCAGGTTAAAATGAGAGAAAAAAACATTACACACAAACATTATTTTGACAAGAAATTGATTTCCGATTTTATTTTATTTTATTTCATTTCATTCTGAAGTTTTTTTTTGAAAAAAGAGAGATAGAGATAAAGAAACTATTTTTACGAAGAAACTTGAACATTTTTTCATTAATCATCGAGAAATTAAATGAAAACATTGAAAAACCTTCAATGTTGTTGTTGTTTGAAGATGTTGTTGTTGTGTCATCAAATGTTTGTCAATTTGAATAAACCAACCCAAAACTGAAAAGATAATCATTAATAATTATCATTAATGGTTTCGTAAACCATTGTCACTAAAAACCATTTGATAAATTGTTGTAATGGAAATTTTTGTGTAACATAGTTAAAATAACCGATAAAAATACCGGCTAAAATATCACCAAAAAAATGACGACCATATAATACACGTGAAATGGTTACTGCAAATGCCCATGGCCATACAAAAATCATTAAAAATGGAAATTGTTTTGATAAAATTAATGCCAAATAAATTGAACGTGATGCATGTCCAGATGGAAATGATAATTTATCCACTGTAATCCATGCATTTTCAGCTTGTGGTGCATATGATGGACGTCGTCGACGACAAAATGCTTTTGCCAATGCAATATAAACAATATCGATTAATAAACCGATTAATAATTCAATCCAAAAATTATTATCGCTTGTAGTGAATGTAAATAATGTAATCAATGCTAACCATGGTATACCATGACATGAATATTCCAATATTTGTAGATAACGTTTTTTAATTTGAAAATTATGTTGACCAATACGATAACATTGATAGGATAATTTTTGATCCAGAATTGTTAATTTTTCTTGTAATTTTTTCATTGCCATTTTTCGGATTTCTGTATTGTGACAATAGATAGAATTAGTTTTGAATTTGAATTGAAAAAATGATGATGATTTGACATTCAAATAAACGAAAGAAATGAAAGGAGGAAAACTCGACTGGCAAAATATGAATATTTTTAGATCATCATCAACAAAAACCGACAATAAATTGTCGTAGTGGTGTAAATGTTGATAATGAGAGTGATAATAAAATATGGTGACAATTTACATACCATAAACACAATGCAAATTATAAGCAGAAAGAAACAAAAACAAAGAAATCTTTTATTTCGTCAAAAAAAAAACTAAAAATTTTGATAAATCAATTTTGTTCGTTAAATTGATAATAAAGAAGTACGCATGCTCATATCGAACATCATTGTTGAAAATCAGCTGACAACTCGATTGACATCTTGAAGCTCAGATTTTTTTAAAAAAATCAATTTCTTTCATTTTCTTTCTTAGCAACAACAAGAAAAGGATAATCTCTTTTTTTTTGAAAATGGATGATACGATTAAGCAAGAATCTAAACAGCAACAACAATCAGAAATATCATCAACAGCAGAACAACAATATCGAACAAGCGATTTGAATATAAATTTTCTATCACAAATTTATGAAATATTACGATGGTAAGTTTGAAACAAACAAAAAAAACATGAAAATGATTAAATTAACTGAACTTTTTTTCTTGTATAAAAAAAATAGTTTGGAAAAAGAAACACAAGAAAATTTTGTAGCAAAAACTGGTAACAAATCAACATCGTCATCATCATCATCATCATCATCGACAACACAATCATCAACTCAATCAACATCCGAATATATCACGAAATTAAACAATTTACGTGAAACATTTGAACAATTTCGTCAACAAATCCCTCAGGTATCTGGTTCGAATGTATCAAAAGAAGAACAATTACAAACATTACGATCATTACGACAGCAATTAATAATGAAAAAAGATTTATTATTAAAATATAAAAATAGTTCATTTGTTGATCATTTACAATCAGGAATATCATCGCAACAACAATCAACTAATAATAATAATAATAATATCATTAAATCATAAAAATTTGTAAATTTAAAAATTAAAAAATTAAAAATTAAAAAAAACATAATTTTTTCAAACAAACATATTGCTTTGGCTATTTCTTTTATCCAAAAATCACAGTGTTATTACTCAATGTTATTGTTGAGTTTTGGTTCATCATCCGATAATGATAATGATAATGATGATGATGATGATGGTTGTTGTTGTTGAGATTCTTTGGGTAAAAAATGTACACTAGATGCCAATTCAGTTTGATTAAATTGTCGAAGATGAACTAAAAGATGTAGATTTAATTCTTCCGGACGACTTAGATAAGGATAATTACCACCTGATTTAAGATGTGCTAATCGTGCTTCCGGATACATTTTATACATTTCAATACGTGTTTGTTCACTATTTGAACATTCATCAAATACATCGATTATTGTAATCGTTAGTGATTGAAGTGATTCAGGTTGAACATAATTTTCAGTTAAATTTAAATGTAAACGTGCTACTAATTGTCGATGTGTTAATGATGATAATTTCCGGGACATAAATTCATATGCTGAATGTATTCGTTCATCAGCATCGACAGGTATTCGATTTGCAATGAATAATTTTCGTAATACTGATGTTGGATTTATCCATATCCTAATGACAAAAATGAATGAATGGGGTTAATTTTCGGGTAAAAAATATTTTTTGAATGACTTACAGTGGAATAGTGTTTACAAAACGAAATCTTGTTGTATCGGCAAATGAATTACAAAGAATTAATGATGCAATACGTTCAGGATATTTTTCGGCAAATTTTTGTGCTAAAAATCCACCTAATGATGCACCGAAAATATGTACACGACGTATTTGAAATGAATGGAGGAAACGTTCGAAACCAATATTGAATTCATCGATAGAAAAATAATCCGGATATTCAGCTGCAATAACACGATGTCCACGATCCGATAGATATAATAATTGTTGAAAAAATATATCAGCTGTACCACTTACTGGTGGTAAAAATATTATTGGACAATCAATTTGTTTTGGACCACATTCATATATTGTCCATAAATTATTACCATCATTATCATCCAATGCATGACGTTTTAATGCAATTTGGCTACGAAATTTACAATATTGATCACTAGTTTCGATTGATTCGAATGTAATTGATTTCGTTGTTGATGATGATTCTTTTTGATCATTTTCCAAATTTTTCACGTTCGAATTATATCCAATTAAATTAAATCTATTGATTTTATTAAGAAAAAAGTTATTCATTTTTTACTGTGATTGATTACAAAACAAATAAATATGATTACATTTTTTCTGCCATTCGATCGATCGACTAAACAAAAGAAACCAACATAGAGATAATCATAATCAATGAAAAATTTACTCAAAAAGTTTTTTAGGGTGTTTTAAACTGCTAAAAAAATTGATTTGAAATCGAAAAGTTTTTTGTTTTTGTTTTTGTCAAATTCCAAAAAATATTGATTCAAAAATGATAAACAAAAGAAAAATTCCAAAACCATTCAGAGTGTATATAGGTGTCGCGTTGAGTGTAAATAGAAATTTCAAAACAAAAAAAAAGTGACTAAAAAAATTTGAGTTTATTTTTAGTTTTTCTCAAAATTAATTAATAATTAATAATTTACAAAATACAACTAAATTAATTTACAGAATATATATTCTAAAAAAAATATTTTAAAAACTATGAAAAGAATTGATGTTGATCCCTGTAATGTGACCGAGAAAAAAAATACAAGTTCGACGACAAACAAACAAACAAAAAAGTTAATAAATTAAACAAATTCAAAACAAAAAAATTGATCAAACCCGGTATATATTTGGTGTTCGGCTAGAATGGCACTAGTGAATTTTGGTTTCTTGGAATAGTGATTGTCAGATGATTAAAAAGTTTCAATTCAATTTTGATTTTACTGATTGATCACTTTTGGCTATTGATTGTCTTGATAATGTTATTTTCGTTTCATCATCCAAATCATACCTTGGCAAATTAATACCTTTAATAAGATCGGCTGCTTTTTCACCAATCATTATGATTGGTGCATTTGTATTNTGATGATGATGATTCTTTTTGATCATTTTCCAAATTTTTTACATTCGAATTATATCCAATTAAATTAAATCTATTGATTTTATTAAGAAAAAAGTTATTCATTTTTTTTCTGTGATTGATTACAAAACAAACAAAATATGATTACATTTTTTCTGCCATTCGCGATCGATCGACTAAACAAGTGAAAACACTAAGAGATAAAAACGTTTACATAATCAAGTTACAAAAAAAGATTTTTTCGGGGCGTTTTATTATTTTAAAGTGTTTTTAAAAAATTGATTTGAAATCAAAGTTTTTTGGTTTTTTGTCAAATTCCAAAAAAAAATATTGATTCAAAAATGATAAACAAAAGAAAAATTTCAAAACCATTCAGAGTGTATATAGTGTCGCGTTGAGTGTAAATAGAAATTTCGAAAAAAGTGACTAAAAAAAATTTGAGTTTATTTAGTTTTTCTCAAAATTAATTAATAATTAATAATTTACAAAATACAACTAATTAATTTACAGAATATATATTCTAAAAAAATATTTTAAAAACTATGATAGAACAAAAATTGATGATCCCTGTAATGTGGCCGAGAAAAAAAACATACAAGTTCGACGACAAACAAAAAAGTTAATAAATTAAACAAATTCAAAAAAAAAAAATTGATCAAACCCGGTATATATTTGGTGTTCGGCTAGAATGGCACTTGTGAATTTTGGTTTAGTGATTGTCAGATGATTAAAAAGTTTCAATTCGATTTTGATTGATCATTTTTGGCTATTGATTGTCTTGATAATGTTATTTTCGTTTCATCATCCATATCATACCTTGGCAAATTAATACCTTTAATAAGATCGGCTGCTTTTTCACCAATCATTATGATTGGTGCATTTGTATTGCCCGATACAATCTTGGGCATTATTGAACCATCAGCAATACGTAAACCACTAATACCACCTAGAACACGAAGTTCTGGATCAACAACGGCTGTTGGATCCCATGGTGCACCCATTTTAGCCGTTCCAACTGGATGATAAATTGTTGCCGTATAACTTCTTGCAACACAAGCTAAATATTCATCACTCCACATTTGATAATGTTCACAACCAGGAAAAATTGTTTCAAATAAACGTGCATTCATTTTTTGATATGCCGGTGTTAGGCCAACAGCAATCGATATTTTCATTGCATCAACCATTTTCAATATATCTTTTGGATGTGTTAAATATTTTGGATCAATTATAGGTGGATCATATGGATTTGATGAACGAAGTTTTATATAGCCAACACTTTCCGGACGTAACATAACTGGATAAACAGAAAATGAATCTGTTGTTATATAAGGTTGATAAACTTGTCGCCATAATTGTCTGGTTAGTCCTTGTACACGACGAAATGTTTGACCATCATCAGATGATGGACCACCACTAACTAAATGTATTTCAAAATCAGGATAATCAGCCGTTTTATTAGCATATTTTGTATTGATAAAACCAAGACCTTCAACACCACCTAATGCAGTTAAAGGACCTGTTGAATGGATGGATTTTTTTGTAATGGAAGAATTAATGAAAAACTAAATAAATATCGAAACAAAACAAAAAACAACATACCACGACCAGAAGCAAAATAAGATAATAAATTTGGTATAGTAACAACTCTTCGTTGTACGAATGAATATTTTGCATCAACTTGAAAATGTATACCACCTGGATAAATATGATCTTGAAGATTTTCACCAACCGGTAGATCAGCAATAACAGGTATACCAAGTGCTTGTAAATGATCTTTTGGTCCAACACCGGATAACATTAGCAATTGTGGTGTATTAACAGAACCGGCTGAAATTATAATTTCTTTACGTGCCATAACCATATGTGTTAATGCAAAACGATCAAATTGTACACCAATAGCACGACGATTTTCATTGAATAAAATACGTGTAACATATGCAAATGTTAACACATGTAAATTTGAACGATCACGAATTGATGACAGGAATGCTTTAGCAGTTGAACAACGTGCACCACGACGTATTGTACCTTGCGGTATAACAAAACCAGTTTGTGTTGGTCCATTAATATCGGAATTTGGATAACCTAGGTATTTTCCTGCTTGTGGAAATGCTAACGATATTGGTGTAATATCCGATGGACTTGATACAGTTAAATAACCACCAACACCATGATAACCATTTGATGCAATAATTGGATCACGATTATCTTCTGATTTGATGAAATAAGGTAGAACATTTTGCCAATTCCAACCATAAGCTCCCATTTCTTCCCATTGATCATAATCACGACGATTTCCACGTACATAGAGCATATAATTTAAAACGGATGATCCACCCATTACACGGCCACGTGGCCATCTACTTCGCTGTAGGATGGACAAATTAACCAAAAAAAAAATGAATTTTTTAAAAATCAAACTTACTCGATTAATAAGACCAAAACAAGATGTTTGTTGTGGTTCAGTTTGATATGCCCAATCGATTGGTGTCATTTGTAAATTAGCCGCTGCTAATGGTATATCACTGAATAGATTTTCAGAACCACCAGCTTCCAATAATAATACTTTTGTATGATGATCTTCAGATAAACGATTTGCAACAACAGCACCAGCCGAACCGGCACCAATAACAATATAATCATATTCAGGATCCCATGTATTTCTTGATAAAAATGTTGAATGATCAGCAGCACGTATCCATAAAAATGTAGCCAATGGTACCATTGCTGGTAAAAATGGTGCAACATTAAATGTCATCTTTTTTTATTTTAAAAAAAATTGTCGTATGGAACCAACAAACAAAGAGCTTCAAAAGCTCAATATGAAAACACCGAGAAAAACAAAAATTTTGTGGACAAAATCAATCTGATGATGATTCAAAATGATGACATTAAAAAAAAATTGTTAATTTTTAAGAAAAAATTGAAATAATTTTTGAGAAAAAAAACAACGTTGTTTGGTTTGGCTTGGTTGGTCTGATTGATTGATTAATTTCGAACAAAAAAACAAAACAATGAAATAATTTGATTGATGCTTTTTATTTTCTCGGTTTTAATTATTATAATGATGATAATGATGATGGCAATGGTAATGACAGAAGAAGAAGAAGCAGAAAAAATCGAATGATGATGACATTCGTTCATTCGTTTTAGTCGTTGTCGCTGATGATCACATTGTTCTTAATAGATTTTTTTTTGTTTTTTCGACAAAATTAGCTCATTTTTTTTGCTGTTGTCGTTGCTGTTGTTGTGATAATTTTTTGCAATTAGTCAGACCATTCAAGCTTATTCATTTCAATGATGATGAGATTTACTTCTTGGAGAAAGAAAAAAAGAAAAATAATGTTGAAATTGAAACACACTTTTGAAGACACACACAATGGTTTCACTTCGATAGTCGATGATCTACTGATCTTGATATATAGTGACAATGTCGACGACCGATAACCAAGACCAAATAAAGACCAAAAAAATTTTGGTTGACGGGAATGAATTTTTGTGTTTTTTTTGATGTCTCTCTTTTTTTTCTGGTTGTTTTTTCGGGTAATCGAATGAGAATTGTCATTCGAATGACAGAATGAAACAGAAAACCAAAGAAACGGTATTGTTCTTCTTTTTCATTTCGTTTTTTTTGCCATGTTCGAGGTGAGAAAATAACCGAAAGAAAAAACAAGCAAAATTTGTCAAATTTTTCATGTCGAGCAAACAAAATACCTCGTTTTTTTGTTGTTGTTGTTCGATTGTTCTCTTTTCTCGGTCGGTCGGTTTGTCTTCGCAAAAATTCGGTTATCATCTTTTTTCACTTTTTTCGCAAAAAAAACCAAAATAATTTTCCATTTTTCGGATTTTTATTTAAAAAAAACAAAACAAAAACAAAAAATAATAATTTATGACAAAATGCTCAGGACGGAAAGAAAAACAAAGTTTTGGACAAACATTACATTTATGAATGGCACTGTTTGGTCAACGAACCAGACAAGACAAAAACAAAACATTCGATTCGGATTATTATTATTAAAATTATTATTATAAAAAAAAATTCTTTACAGGCAACTATAATTGAAATTAAAATAATGGTAAATATTATTTATGATTGGAAAACATTGATAATAATAATTTTCTAAGCTTCTAATTGATTTGAATATCGGAATTTTTTTTACAGTTTGTTTTGGCTTTTTGTTTTCATTTTTTCTTATCAAAATTTGTTGGATCATGATTTGGATCAAAAAATTTTCTATCAATATCATTCCAATAATCGGCCATACGTTTTGCTGTTGCTGGATCATAACGTGGTAAATTTATACCTTTTATCATATCTGATACACGTTCACCAATCATAATAATTGGTGCATTTGTATTACCGGATACAACTTTTGGCATAACAGAACCATCAGCAACACGAAGACCTTTTACACCGCCTAAAACACGAAGTTCAGGATCAACAACTGCTGTTGGATCCCATGGTGCACCCATTTTAGCCGTTCCAACTGGATGATATAATGTTGAAGTAAATGTTCGTGCAACACAAGCCAAATATTCATCACTCCACATTTCATAATGTTCACAACCGGGGAAAACAGTTTCAATAAGACGTGATTTCATTTTACGATATGGTGGTGTTAAACCAACTGCAATACAAATTTTCATTGCATCAACCATTGATTCAATATCTTTTTGATGTGTCAAATATTTTGGATCAATTATTGGTGGATCATATGGATTTGTTGATCGTAGTTCAATATAACCAATACTTTCTGGTCGTAACATTACCGGATATAATGAAAATGTATCAAATTTTACATATGGTTGATAAACTTGATGCCACATTTCATCAGTATAACCTTGTACACGACGAAATGTTTGCCCATCATCAGATGATGGACCACCACTAACTAAATGTATTTCAAAATCAGGCCAATCATCAGTACGATTTGTAAATTTGGTTTTAATAAAACCTAAACCTTCAACACCACCAAGAAGTGTCCATGGACCTATTTTAATTCAAACAACAAAAAAACAAACAAGAATAATTAGTGTTGAAATAGTCGGTATTGTAAAAAAAATGATGGAAAACATTCGATTTTTTTCTGTTTTGTTTACCTCTTCCTAATGCAAAATAAGCAATCGTATTTGGTAATGATGAAACTCTTCGTTGTATCATTGAATATTTTTTATCAATTGTAAAATGAATACCACCTGGATAGATATGATCTTGAAGATTTTTACCCACAGGTAAATCAGCAATAATTGGTATACCTAATGAATGAAGATGATCTGATGGTCCAATACCTGAAAGCATTAATAATTGAGCAGTATTAACTGAACCACCAGATAATATTATTTCTTTTCGTGCATAAACAATATGTGTCAATGAAAAACGATCAAATTGTACAGCAACAGCACGTTTATATTCATTAAATATAACTTTTGTTGCATATGCAAATGTTAATATATGAAGATTTTGACGATCACGAACGCTTGATAGAAATGCTTTCGATGTTGAACAACGTGCACCATTACGTATAGTACCTTGTGGTATTGTAAATCCAGTTTGTGTTGGACCATTAATATCAACATTTGGATAACCAAGATGTTTTCCTGCTTCAGGAAATGCTAACGATATTGGTGTTGAATCAGGTGGATTTGCAACAGTTAAATAACCACCAATACCATGATAACCATTTGAAGCAACATTTGGATCTTGATTATCTTCTGATTTTATAAAATAAGGCAGAACATCATGCCAACTCCAACCATAAGCACCAAGATCAACCCAACGATCATAATCACGACGATTACCACGTACATATAGCATATAATTTAATACGGATGAACCACCAAGTACACGACCACGTGGCCAACGACTACGTTGATTTTTTAAACCAAAACAAGAAACAGTTTGTGGTTCAGTTTGATATGCCCAATCGATTGGTGTCATTTGTAATGTAGCCGCTGCAATCGGTATATCACTGAATAATGTTTCCGAACCACCAGCTTCTAATAATAATACTTTTGTACGATGATCTTCAGATAAACGATTTGCAACAACAGCACCAGCCGATCCAGCACCAACAACAATATAATCATATTCTTGATCCCATGTATCACGTGAAATAAATATACCAAGATCAGCTGCTTTAAGCCATAATAATGTTGCTAATGGTACTAATGCCGGTAGTAATGGATTAACTGATGTTATTAATGCAGATGATGATGTATCCATTATCATCATTATTATAAATTGTTATCAATTTTTTTTTACATTTATCACAGGATGAAAATAGTTACAACAACAAAAACAACAAAAATCTATTATTCACTTTCTAGGTCAAAATAGTCGATTCGAATGATTTTCATTTTTTTTTCTTTTTCTTCAAAGAATTCGAATTCGAATCAATCGATCAAAAATGAAAACTGAAACACACAAAGATCACCCAATCATCATTATCATTTCTTGAGACGAAAAAAAACATTGAACAAATCAATCAAAAAAAAACAATATTGAATTTTGTTGATGATATTATCATTCATTGGTGGTAACTGATGAAAATGAAAAAAATTGAAAATTGATTTTTTTGTTTTCGTTTTCGTTTCGGCTTGAACAAAAAAAAACATTCATTTTATTCAACCTTCAACAGTCAAAAAATAACAACAACAACAAAGGTTTGATCATTTTTCTCTTTTGTTCCAAATTTTCTAATTTCAGTTTTTTTGGTTTTAGGTTTTTCAGGCAAAAGAAAAAAGAAAATCCAACGACAACAACATATATCCGTTTTTCTACCTTTATTTTTTGTTTGGTTGTTGATTACACCATTGTTCAGAAATTTGTTCAAATTTACATCCTTAAAAAAACAGACATACAAAATTTTTTTTTTATTGTGAAAAATCATTACGTTTTTTCGTTGTCCAATTGGCTAATATGTGTTTTTTTTCATTGTGTTATTTATTCCGTTTCATTCATTCATTCATTTTTTTCGTCAATTTTTTTCTTTACATTATCATTGAATATCATTTTTAATGTTAACAAAAAACAAGAGAAAATATTTCATCTTAAATATGTCATGCATGGTCAATCATCCTTATTGGTTTCGTTATTTGTTTGTAAGTTTATTTTTCATTCATTTTTCCTTTTTGCTGCTAATTTGTTTATTGGATCAATATTTTTTTCTAACTATGTTTACAGACAAAAGAGAGAGAGAGAGAGAGATTTGAAAAAAATTTTCCCCTTAGTGGTTTTGGAATTTAAAAGTTTCAAGAAGTTTTTTTTTGAGAATGTTGATGTTGTTGTTGTTTTCGTTGATGCCATTTATTCATTTTATAGAATAGTTCCGTCAATTTTCCGGATGTTTTTTTGGGTTTTGTTTCCGTTTTTGACCTTCAGAAACCGAAATAACAATATTGCAATTAATCTAAGACAGGATATATTTCCGCGCTTTAATACGCCATCACAATAATAAATATTGAAAACAAATAGTAAATTATTATGATTGAATAAATGAAATGAGTTGATACATTCATTTTTTTTTTTTTGACAAAAATTTTTTTCGCGCGTTTTTTCGTTTTGTTTACAATTAAAGATTTTTTCTTTCAAACATTATCGCCATCTATTGTCAATGCTTGATAGTTGAGGAATTAAGTTACAAAGTATTCGATTTGATTAGAATATTGTTACCAAAACAAGAATTCTTGAACCTCATGATTGGAGTTTACACTTCAATCATGAATTTAGACCTCATGATTGGAGTGTAAACTCCAGCACTTTTTTCTCAGTGAATGGTTTGAATTTTATTATAAATTCAATCAAAAATTTCCTCATAAATCTTTTGTGTATTATTTTTTGCAAAATATTATTTGCATAGTAAATTTGTTTTTTTTTCTTGGCCACAAATGATTAATCATTTGTTAATGATCATTCCGATCATCATTATATGGATGGTCAATGATGGTGTTAAATCAATCATAGTACATGGTATTGATCATCAACTACATCACAACAATATCCATTATCAACCAATTTAATAATGAATAATAATAATAATCAAATAATCAATCAAACAACAAATCTAACAAATAATTTATCAAACATTATGAATAATTCATTACTAAATATGAATATTCAAACTACAAATACAAAATTATTATGATCAAATTCTGTTCAAAAAAATAAAAATAAAACCAAACTGACAAACACTTTTCTCTAAGTGATTCAAATGAAAGCATGCGCATTGAAAAAAAGTAGCTCATCTCAGCTGTAATTCGTTTGTTGTGTTTATTTAATAAAAATAGAAGAAGAGAAGATTATTGAACTGAACTTTGAAAAAAATTCAAATAAAAATTTCTGAAAAAAATGGGTTCTTTATCGAATTCATCATCAACACCAATTAATAATTATAATAATCAAGAGAAAATAATGTCAACACTATCGATAATAATATCACGATTAGATCGAATGGTCGATCATGAAAAAGAAGAAAATTTTTTGGTAAAATCACGATTAGATCGAATTGAAAAGATACTTTTTGATTTGGTTGATTATTTGAAAACCGATAAATTCACCAATCATCATCATCATCAACCTTCATCTGATTTGATTGAAATCGAAACAAATCAACCAATCGATAATGATAATTTGAAACAACAACAACAAATCGATTTGTCATCGAATAGTGTTTCGGTACCCGATGAAGAAGAATATTTCGTCTGTGCAGTTTACAACGAATCAAATGATGAATCATCAAAACAAAATTGTTCGACAAGAATTACAACAAATAATGTTGATGATAATGATGTTGATGAATGTTTGCTTGATCGAAATCAACGCAAAGGTGATAAACGATACAATTGTGATCAATGTGATTATGCAACTTCATACAAATCTGCTTTAAAAAGACATATTCGTATACATACAGGTGACAAACCATACAAATGTAAACAATGTGAATATTCAACAGCACAACATTGTAATTTACAAAAACATATTCGTATACATTCAGGTGAAAAACCATTCAAATGTAATCAATGTCAATATGCAACAACAGACAAATCTGCTTTTCAAAAACATATTCGTATACATACAGGTGAAAAACCATTCAAATGTGAACATTGTGAATATAAAACTTCAGACAAATATGCATTACAAAAACATATTCGTATCCATACAGGTGAAAAACCATTCAAATGTAATCAATGTGAATTTGTAACAACACAACAAAATAGTTTACAAAGACATAAACGTCTTATACATTCTTCATGTAATATGTAATACATAACACATCCTTCCCGAAAAAAGCTCATGTAAATTCATCATCATCATCATCATAAACGCCATATCCAAATAATTTGGCTTTCAAAATTTTTATTTTGTAAAGACAAAAAAACAATTCTCATCAATAAAATCGGCATGTGCCAAAACCACATTTTTCTTTCAGTGAGTTCATTGAAGCATGCGTATTGAAAAAAAAGTAGCTCATCTCAGCTGTTATGAGTTTGTTATGTATTTAGAAGAGAAGATCATTTCTGAACTTCAAAAAAAAATCAAATTAAATTAAATTTCTGCAAAAAATGGGTTCCCTATCTAATTCATCATCAACACCGATTAATAATTATAATAATCAAGAGAAAATAATGTCAACACTATCGATAATAATATCACGATTAGATCGAATGGCCGATCATGAAAAAGAAGAAAATTTTTTGGTAAAATCACGATTAGATCGAATTGAGAAGATACTTTTTGATTTGGTTGATTATTTAAAAACCGATAAATTCACCAATCATCATCATCATCAACCTTCATCTAATTCGATTGAAATCGAAACAAATCAACCAATCAATAATAATGATAATTTGAGACAACAACAACAAATCGATTTGTCAACCAATGGTGTTTCGTTGCCCAATAATGAAATTGAACAATATTCATTATTACCGGATGAAAATAACGATTATTTGGAAATAAAAATCGAAACCAATGATAATAATGATAATGTTGTTGATGATAATAGTGTTGAGAATGTTGATAATGAATGTTCGATTGATCGACATAAACGCATACCAAACAAACGACATAAATGTGATCAATGTCAATATTCAACAACAGATAAATCTAATTTAAAAAAACATGTTCGTATACATTCAGGTGATAAACGATATAAATGTAAACAATGTGAATATGCAACTTCGGATAAATCTGCTTTACAAAGACATATTCTTATACATACAGGTGAAAAACCATATAAATGTAATCAATGTAAATATGCATCATCAGATAAATCTGGTTTACGAAAACATATTCGTATACATTCCGATTATAAACCATATAAATGTAATCATTGTCAATATGCAACTATTAATAATTCGGATTTAAAAAGACATGTACGTCGTAAACATTCGTAAAATATATATTCGTAGGTATTTAATACATAACATTTCACAACAATAATATTCCTCAATAATAAATTCATCATCATCACATAATAACGAAATAATTTCGTTTTCTAAACATTCATTTTTATTATTATTTATAATTTTCAACTTTTTTGTATACAAAATAATCAATGTCGAAATGAATTTAAATAAAATTTTTTTTTTCGATTCTTTATAATCAATAAATGTTATTTTGGATTATGAAAAAAACATTTTGATAATTTTATTCTTGGATAAAATTCAAATTCCCTTAATTGAATCTAAGAAAAACAAAACAAGAATGGTTCAAATTTTCATATAAATTTCACCATGGCCATTGATTTACATTTTGTGTAACTTTTGTTTATGTTTTTTTTGTTGAATTCTTTGTTTGCAAATGATAAGATTATCATCAAAAGATAATCATTGTAAACGATTATGTTTACATTTGTTAATGATCATTCAAATCATTATTATATGGATGGCCAACAATGATAATGGTGTTAAATCAATCATTATACATCGTATTAATAATCGAACCAAATCAGATCTAATACGATTTCCATATAAATCTGTTTATGGTTTATCAAGATTATTTTATTGTCATGAAGATATTTATAATCGATTTTATCAATGTGAAATATTATCACATAATAAATGGAAAATTACTATTGATGATTATGTAAGTTATTGCGTTCAAATGATTCGGAAAATTAATAAAATCAAAATTTATCCGTTTTGGTTCTTCCTTTCGAAACAAAAAAACAAGTTTTATGAAACGAAAGAATTTTGTTGTTTTGTTTGGGATACAATGGATTGTGAATTGAATGTAGCTGTCGAATGTAATCAAAATTATTCATTGAAATTGGAAAAAAATACCAAAGAATTTTATACATCCATATGTGAACGAATCGGTTCAACATATAAAAGTTGGTCTTGTTGGTGGACATATGATAAAGAAATTCTTACGGGTAAAATTATCGGTATTGTTTTATCGGTTCTAACATTGTTGATCTGTGTATACACTGGATATCGTGGTTATCGTTGGAAGTAAGTATTATTAAAATTTTTTTTTCTATTTACAAATCTGAACACCATTTTTTTCTTTTTTTGACTTGAAACAAAACGAAATTACAAAAAATAGATTAAAAACTAATCAATTAAATAAAGAAAAACGTTTACAAATGACATTAGAACAATATGCTAATCCGAATAAAATAATAATGGATCCAAAAGAATTTAAAAAAAATAGTGAATCATTAATTATATCGAAAAAAACGGTAAAAAATATAACACAATTAGATTTTATTGATTTACAACCAAATTTAAGAAATGGTAAAAAAATTTATACGGAAAAAGATTTACCAAACATAACACTGGTTAAAGATCGTGGACAAGCACGACCACAAGATTTTGATGAATTATTATTAATAAGAAATGATAAAATATTTAAAATGAATGTATTAGTTGTACCGAAATCATTTGATGAAATGTATCCACCATATGTTATAACACCACCGAATCAAGAAACACAAGATTTTTTATATTTTTTCGTTACAAATAAACCATTATTTTATAAATTATTTAAATCAAATTTAAACGATTATTCATATTATTCATAATTAATAATTACAAACAAAAAAATTTAATAAATAAAAAAAAATAGTCTAAACAAAATACAAACAAACAAATTTTATAATAATAGTAATAATAATGAAAATAATAATCAAAAATAAATGCTAATTTTAATTTTTCAGAATTCCCTTATTATTATTAATTTTTAAAAGTAACACACACTGCTAAAAAAGATGGCTCAGAATTCCCTTGTTGTTGATTAGTTAATTATTTTTGTAAAATTAGAAATTTTTTTTTACAAGAATTGTTTTTTTAAAATAAATTTTTATACAAAATCAAAACAAAAATGGTCTGAATTTTCATATAAATTACAATTGATTTTTATTTTATTTTAATTATAATTTTGTTTTTGTTTTTCTTTCTTTTGGTTTGCTGTCAGTGTGTATCATTATTTATTTTTTTTTCATATTAAACAAAAGTTATTCGATTAATATATGAATAGTAAACGAATATTTTTACATTTATTATTGATAATCATCAATAATGTTAAAACAATCATTTTACATGATTATGATACGGTACGATTTGCATATAAACCGGTTTATGGTCTACCAAAATCATTACAATGTAGTGAATCAGTTTACCATAAATTCAATGAATGTGAAATATCATCACATCGAGAATGGAAAATTTGGATCAATGAATATGTAAGTTGCATTTGAGTGATTCTCAAAAATTATTGATCAAACCAAATTTCGTTTTGTCTTTTGAAACAAAAAAAAAAAAAAGTTCTATGAAACGAAAGAATTTTGCTGCTTCGTTTGGCAAGCGATGGCTTGTGAAATAGAAATAGCTGCAAAATGTAACCGGAATTATTCGCAACAGATCGAAACAAGCACAAGAAAATCGTTTACTTCCATGTGCGATAAAATCGGTTCATCACAACGAAGTTGGAGCTGTTGGTGGACAGAAGACATGAAAAGCACTATCGGTTTGGTTGTCACAGCTATTACCATTTTTCTGATTGTTGTCGGTGTATACATTGGATGTCGACAATATCGTGCCAAGTAAGTTTTATTCTTGATTTAACACACTTTTCTGATCGCAACAAAAACTAACCATTATTTTTTTTAGTGCCAAACTAAAAGAGCAAGCAAAAATTGGCAAAAAGCTTAATATTCCAATGAAAAAATTAACAGCTGAAGATACTGGTCTATCAACAATTCATTCATCAGAAATATCAACAACAAAAGTCAATTCTACTGATAAACCAGTTCAATCATCAAAAATCAGATCATTATTTGGGGGCAAGCTTGAAGCACGAGGAAAACCTCACAAGAATATTCCATTGAAAACTACAAAAGGAAAATTAACAGCTGCTGATATCGGTCCACCAACAAATGTCCGAACATTTCGATCCGATCAAATACCAAAAGAATTTACACAAATGCCACCTACAACAACAACAACAACAACACAAAATATCAATAATATTAATAATAATAAACCAATACAAAATGTTTCGGATAATGTTTCATCATTTAAACCACCAGCAAATGATTCAAGTTCAATTACAAATCAAGAATTACCATTATCAAGATCATCATCAACAAAATCAGCAGCAACAGCAGCATCAGGAGTATCAATAAAATCAGCAACAGCAGCAGGATCAACGAAATCAACAGCATCAGGAGTATCAATAAAATCAGCAGCAACAGGGGTATCAACAAAATCAGCAGCAACAGCAGCATCATCAAATTCATCAGCATCAGGAGTATCAATAAAAACAGCAACAACAGGAGTATCATCAAATTCATCAGCATCAGGAGTATCAATAAAAACAGCAACAACAGGAGTATCATCAAAATCAACAGCATCATCAGTAGCAACAATTCAAACAACCGCATCACAACAACAACAAACACCACCAATACCGGATACAACACCGTCACCATCATTAATTCAATCATCAACAACAACACCACCACACCAGCAACAACTATTAGTGTACGATCCTAATCTAGATCCAACAAACACTATAAGAAATCTAACAAATGTTGTAAATCCATCGAATTTGAATGTAATATCACGAAATAGATCATTTCTTTCTAATTATTTCAATTTATCACGTGTGTTACCGGGGTTTTGGCAAAACGCAACATTCAACCACAACAAATAGATGGCGAACGTGTTAAATAAATATAAATAAACAAAAAAATAAATGATTAAATAAAACTTTTCATTAATAATTAAAAGTTATAATTATCGATGCTAATTAATTACAATTTTCTTTGATTTTGATGGTAATCATTCAATCACTGTCAAACTAATTGAATATAATTTGATTATTTTCCTACAAATTTTATAAACCAAAAAAAAAAAAAAATAATTTTTCCGAAATTTCTATCGATTTTTTTCCCCTTATTGTTGATTAATTAATTATTTTTGTAAAATTAAAAATAAGAAAATTTTTTACAAGAATTGTATTTTTTGTTGATATATTTGTAAAAAAACAAAACAAAAATGGTCTGAATTTTCATATAAATTATAATTGGTTTTTATTTCATTCTGATTATAATTTTGATAATAGAGTATTGAATTGAGTATAGAGTTCAATTACAAATCAAGAATTACCATTATCCAGATTACCATCAACAAAATCAACAGCAACAGTGGCATCATCAAATTCAACAGCAGGAGGAGTAACAATAAAATCAGCAGCAACAGCAGGATCATCAAATTCAGTAGCATCATCAATTCAAACAACAACATCACAACGACAACAAATACCACCGGATATATCACCACCATCATATGATTCTTTATTTCTATCTACAAATCAATATCAACAAAGACCACCAATACCGGATTCACCACCACCACCATCATATGATTCATTATTTCCATCTACAAATCAATATCAACAAAGACCACTACCACCGGATTCACCACCACCATCATATGATTCTTTATTTCCATCGTCAACATCAACAACACTACAACAGCAACAACCGGATCAACAATTAATACCGTATAATCCTAATCAAGATACAACAAACACTTATAATAATAATAATCTATCAAATGTTATTGTAAATATATCGAATGTGAATGAAGTTTGTCCATCATATGTAATAACACCACCAAATCAAGAAACACAAGATTTTTTATATCAATTTGTTACAAATAAGAATTTTTTTTATGATTATTTTAATTTAAACAAATATAAACACAATAAATAAAAAATGATTAAATAAAGTTATAATTAAATTATAATTAAATTAATTACAACTTTATAATTAATTAAGTTATAAATAAGTTAATTATAACTTTATAATTGATTAAGTTATAATAATTTTTTTTTTGTTTCGTTTCAAAATACAATCGAATTACAGAATTAAAAAAATGATTCGAATTTTTCGATATAAATTTCAACTAGCATTTTGATTTTATATTTTGTGTTGATTTATTTTGATCATCATTTTCTTCTGTTCTTCAAATGATTAGATTTTCGTTAATCGATAATAATCATAATAAACAAAAATGGTTACATTTGTTGATGATGATCATTGTTGCTATCATCACAATGAATAATGTAAATGATGTTAAATCAATTATTTTACAAGGTAATAATCAATCGGATACTGTACGATTTCAATATAAACCGGTTTATGGTCTATCAAAATCATTACAATGTAATGAATCAATTTACAGCCAATTTAATGAATGTGAAAAATCATCACATCGTGAATGGAAAGTTACGATTGACGAATATGTAAGTTG